CGAGTCCTTTCATTTGATACCCATATTGTAAAAGTAAATTAAAAATAGCTATTCCGCCATCTTGGATGGTCTGCCATATTGGATTCAAAATAACGTCACATTATTTCTCGAATTACTTTCAACGAGCCCTTCATTTGATACCCATATTCAAGAAGTAGATTGAAAATGACCATTCCGCCATCTTGGATGGTCCGCCTTATTCGATCTAGAATGACGTAACATTCTTTTTCGAGTATCTCCCAACGATATTTTTCATTTGATACCCATATTGTGGAAGTATATCAAAAATAGCTGTTCCGCCATCTTGGATGGTCCGCCATATTGGATTTAGAATAACGTGACACACCCTATCGTGCATTGTCATCCAAACTGAACGTGTATATCAAAATTTCAGCTCAATCGGTTGAAGATTTCTACTTCAAAATTGAGTTCGAAGATTCCACCCGAACATACATACATACATACATACATACAAACATACAATGCAAGTTAAATAAAAGCTTTCAATTTCTATTCTAATAAAATTGAGTTTATTCGAATGGAGTCATGTAACCTGTTTGAGACCTCTCAGGGGCTCACAACTTGTGAGTACGGGAATGGTGAACCCGAGGTACCCTAGCCGGATATTCACCATACTCCAACTTGTCTTGGGTGATATCCTCTTCTCTCTTCCTTTTTCAATCTATCTATCGGCCTTTCTCGGCCAACTTTTCTCTTCCTCCTCCTCTCCAAGCCCAACCTCACCATCAAGTGGTGTGGGCAGAACAGACCGCGCCCGCTCAGCGTATGAAGCATTTTGGGACCATCTTTGCTATCTCCGACCAGATGGGACAATTTGTAGACATCTGTGGCAGGGATGGGGCGATTTGCTGATATCCGTTTAGCTGGCCGAGGACTGGTCAACGAGGCTCTGGCAACCTAAGCCGAGCTGTGGGGACCCGTGGTGATAGATGAATGGCACCGAGGTATGGTGTCGCTGACGGGGCCTCTGGGAAACATAGCGACATCTCAGAGTAAGTAGCCTTAGCCCTGTGCAGGAGGCACCACAGGGCTGGACGAACCCCTTCCCCCAAGAGCAATATTCAGGAACCTGAACGAAAAGGGTCTTTCATATTGAAGTGACCCTTAAGAAGCACCATGAGTCGTATATGGTAAAATTGATAACGGCATGTAGGTATAAAATGAGCCACTAGGTCTAAGTGTCGTCGGAGACTTCGGTCAGACGAGCCTACAAACGGGGTGGAATGTTTAGTGGGTATACCTGGAGTCAGGGGACTCCCACACTATCATATGGGGGATTGGACCCATATGGTGTCCATGAAGGATTTCAACCACCTCGATGAAAATAAAAACCTGTTTGATAGTGATATAATTCACATACCACTGATACGAATGATTTTGTTTTCGAAAGTTCCAAGCTCATCAAGATTAGAGATTTTTCAAGTATACTGTTCCTGTACATCTCAATTTTTATTTCAATACCGAACATGTTGGTGAGTTGTATTTTTATATCATGGTACATCATTTTATTTCATCCAATTTGAGAGATTATGTCAATTCTCAATGAATAAAATTCGGTGTTTGGCGTGGCAAATAGCCAGAAGAGTAGTTGTTTTCTGTTAAATATTCAGAATAATATTATGTGCATATAGGTACATATCTTTACATGAAGGAGAATGCAAAGTCTCTACTTCCAGAAGAATTTATTTTCAAATATTAATCGTGTGTTCAATAGATATAACTCAATGTTCGTCGTGGCATATAACCAGAAAAGTAGTTGTTTTTCTGTCGAATAAACCGAGAGGGAGTTGATACTTCCATCACATAGAGAATGCGAATTCTCAATGCATTTCTTAATATTTATATATCCATTTCTTTATATTTTTAATTATATCTGAGAATATTCCTTTTCAATAAAGGAAGTTTACTTGTGTAATAATAACTTATTGAAAACTCCTTTCGAAGTTTCGATTCGTGAGGGAATTTTTGATGATAAACATATAAGAAGTGGACTTGTGTAATCAACCACTTGAGAATCTTTCCTAGAAGTTTCAATATGTAAAGGAATTATGAGACTTCAATTTCTGCTTATAATAATTGAGGTTCAAAATATCAGTGGATTATAAGTTTTTGCATCACAATATCGTCCAAGTATTCGAAATATCAGGAAATGGGTGATTATAAACATATAGAATTATGAATACTTGGACACCTTTCTTCAAAGTTTCAGTTTGTCAGGAAAGTTCAGAAAATTTAAAAAATTGGTGATAATCAACATATTCGACGTTCTCTTGTGTGGATCACTTGAAACACTTTTCTAGAAGTTTCAAAATGTGGAGGAATTATAAGACAACAATTTATACTCATAATAAGGTTCAAAATATCAGCTGATTATTTGTTCTTGCATTACAATTTCGTCCTAGTATTTGAAAATTATTAGAATAGGTCATTATAAATATATTAGAAGTTCACTCGTTTGATCATGACTACTTGAAAACCTTACTCCGAAGTTCTGATTTGCGGGAGAATCTTTGGAAATTCAGAAAAATGGTGATGATAAACATATGAAGAGTTTATTTGTGCAATCAACCACTTGAAAGCTCTCTTGGAAGTTTCAATATGTAGAGGGATTATGAGACTACAATTTCTACTTAGATTAGATTAGATTTAGAATGGGGCCTTCGGGCTATCTGCCTCCACACCGCGACCTTTTCAGATCTATTGTGTCTGCCCTCAAAATCGATTAGAGTTCTTCGGCTAGCCCCGTCTTCTCTATGAGACTCCATAGGATAGCTTTCAGATCCCCTGTGTATCTCTGGGCTTCTGGTTTTTCCTCACCCAGCGTAAGGAACCTTAGTCTTGACAAGCCCTCACAGTGGCAAAGTATGTGTACTGCTGTTTCCTCCTCTTCCTGACAGAACCTGCACAGCAGTTCTTCAGTCAGACCTATCGTACTCATGTGTTTGTTGAGCCTACAATGCCCTGTGAGAAGTCCCACTAGTATTCTAGTTGAACTTCGTTTCTGGCTTAGTAGATATTCTGTGAATGTTGGCGATGGTTTTTTAATAAACTCTTTTGCCTGTCTCATTCCTGGCGATTTGTTCCACCATTCTTGAGATTTGGTTTGCATCCATGATTTGATACTAGTCTTTTGTATAGCTTTCGCAATACCACAGAAGGGTTCTGGGCCATTGAGAGCTTTGTTTGCTCCTGCTCGGGCAAGTGAGTCTGCCTCTTCATTGCCCTCGTACCCTGTATGTGCTGGTACCCATGCTAGAGTCAGTCTGTTCTGACTGCCCAGTGCATTTAGGGTTTCTAAGCAGTCCCATACTAGTTTTGAGTTAACTTGCATAGAGTTGACTGCTTTGATTGCCGCCTGGCTATCTGAATAGATTGCAATGGTTTTGCCTTTAAACTCTTGCCTTATCAATTCTTTCACGCAATGATGTATTGCAATAATTTCTGCCTGAAACACCGTCGCGTATTTACCTGAGCTCAGTGAGATTCTTGTCTTTGGCTTGGACTTCTACTTATGATAAGGTTCAGAATATCAGTGGATTATCTGTTTTCGCATTCCAATTTATTTGAAGATTTCTGCACATGACAAGGTTCAGAATATCAGTGGATAATTCATTCCTGCATTACAATTCAGTCCGAGTATTTGAAAATTTGAAGATTTGGTAATGATAAACACATAAAAATTTTATTTGTATAATCATAACTACTTGAAAACCTTTCGCAAAATTTCGATTTGTGAGGGATTTTTTTGAAATTCAGAAAATTGGTGATAAAGCATATGAGAAGTTTACTCGTGTAATCAACCACTTGAGAATCTTTTCTAGAATGTTCGATATGTAGAGGAATCATGAGACAAAAATGTCTGCTCATGGAGAGATTCAAAATATCTGTGGATTATTTGTTTTTGCATTACAATTCCGTCCAAGTATTCAATAATTCATGATGCACATATAAGGGATTCATTCGTTCAATTATAACAACTTGGCAAGCTCCCTTCGAATTTTCGATTTGTGGGGGTTTTGTTCTGAGATTTAGAAAATTGGTGATGGTAAGCATATAAGAATGTCGCTTGGGTTCTCAACCACTTGAAATTCTTTCCTAGGAGTTTCAATATGTAGAGCGATTATAAGACTACAATTTCTGATCATAACTAGGTTCAAAATATCAGTGGAATATTTGTTCTTCGACATAATGAATAAATTGTTCTATCAGGCAAGGAGATTGAATTGGAGATGAGTTTACAATTCATCTCGTTATTTGTTGTGTATCTTTAATGATTATGAGTTGATAATTATTGGAAAATAAATAAATCATCCATGTTACGAAAGACTTACTTGCCTCGATTTCCTGTTTTCTATCAACCCATCCAACCATCAGCTTCAAAAATATCGTATGTACCTTGGTATCAGATACACATTTTCAGTTGTTTCTTCTGATTGTAGGAATGAAAAGTAACAATTGAGGAAAATGAATTTCAACTTGTCCAATTGAAGATATATGATCAAATTCTCCTAGGTTACATTTTCAATTATCGATATTGAATATTCCAATAAAATACTTTTGAAGGCTCTTATTGTCTTCCTATGATATTTTTCGAATATATTCTACAATGTTGTTTTGTTTTCGTTATGTCACCTTCAGTTTCATTGTGTCTAATTTATTCCACCTTTTTTTTATCAATTCATTCATTCGCATTGATCTGGCTTGAATTTCTGATTATCAGACCATTCTATACTTATTACCATTGAGATCCTCAAATAATTTGACTACGGAACAACTCAGATGCTTGATTAGAACCTCCTCCGAAATAAAAAATAGATCTCATAGAATACCTGAACAAATGATCAGAATATTGGTGACAAATTAGAAAGGAATGATTTAGATACACTTTCGATAGGTACATCAATACATTTTCGTTTATGGCCTTGTGATACATTTCTTCAAAATGGAACAAATGAAATAAAGTACATAAGAATGATTACCTGAGAAAATACCAAGTGGGTTGGCATAATATCGCTGTTGAGCTTGACTCCATTCTCCAGCAAATTCTCCAAGGACTTTTTTTTATCGTTGGTAATAATATTCTTCAATCTGATTGTTCCCTCACTTACAGCGTTTCCGGTAATCCTGACATCACCGTTTATTTCCACATCCTGATCCACCTTAACAAGCGGACTCATAGTCTCGAATGCCTTCCCCCTTATCTTTCCGTGCAAGTTTATGGGGCTCAGTAATTCTAAGTTTTCAAACGATTTCGTTCCGGATACGTATTGCCGTTCATCGGATTTCTTCAGCAGTACGTCGAGATTTCCATCCATCACGTTTATGTTGTTTAGATTCTGCGTAGCAGTGAGATTGTTTACGGATAAGTCTTTGTTGAACATCACGTCTTTATTTATGAAATATGTTCCCTCTGTGATAGGGATGAGGTTATTGCTAACTTGTTTGCCTGAAAAATATGAATATTCTATAGAAAACGATATGATCATCATTCTCCCAATATATCGGGTGGATAAAGAATAACACCTTGATTCATTGAACCCTTCAAAACCTGTATTTTGGAATTCCTTCGAATACAGAGAATTCAACTTCACTAGCGCATCAGTGCAGCAGGAGTGAGACGATGGTCTGAGAATTACTTTATATTGGCACTGATTGTCTGGACCCTTGCCTTTCGAATGATTTCCGAAACATTGCAATTCTAATCGAAAAGGATTATTCAATGTTTCAGAAGGCGTTATGATGTGATGGAAACAGAACCAATTACATAATATTCGAGTCTTTTGATTGATAATCAATTCGCTTCAGTTGGTCTGCATGTTTTTTCTTCTGTTTTGGGTTATGTAAACTTATACAGTCTGAAGTAGGTATCTACTTTGTTTTTTTTTTGGTGCTCAACAGATATGATTCAATGTTAGAGGTGGCGAATAGCCAAGAAAGTAGTTGTTTACTGTTGAATAGTCAAAATAATATCATGTGCCTATCTTTGTTGTATGTTCAATAGGTGTAATTCAATGTTCGTCGTGGCATATAGCCAGGAAAAAAGTTGTTTTCTGTTGAATAAACCGAGAAATAATTTATATTTTCATCACATAGAGAATGCGAATTCTCAATTTATTTCTTTATATATATATATATATATATATATATATATATATGTATATATATCCATCTCTTTATGTTTATCATTATATCTGAGAATATCCCTTTTCAATAGTTATCTACTCACCAGACAAATCATCACTAATCAGACTTTCAGCTTTCACACTATCGAAATAGTAAGTTTCTGTAATATTCTGCAGATTCTTTCTCCTCAGAGCATATTTATATAAAGTAGGAATATCAACATCGTTGATGAATCCACCAACAATCAAGTTATCCACGTTCACTGAATCAACGCTCTTCTTTGGCTCTTCTCCTTCCTTATCCTTGTTTTCATTTTCCAGATTTTTGAGTAGATGATCATTCAGTATCGCAGCTGCAACCTTTTCTGCAGTCAAGCTGATGGAAGTGAAATTTCCTAGGCTTTGGTCTCCCATATTCAGGAGTGAGTTTTGAATACCAATATTCATATCATCGAGTTTGTCACTTTCGAGGCCATCTTTGAAATTCACGATACCGTTGACAGTAACATTTTCCAATATATTGGTCCGACGTAAAATGCTCTCTATTGAGTGATTATTAACATTGTTAGTTAGTATCGGTTCATGGGTCCTCAAATAGACAAATTCTAGACTTGTATCAAAATGAAATCCATCATTGATGTTCAATATGTTAGCTGGGACATCGTTAACATCTGAAAATGAGGAACCATTAGATGGATTGAACTACATTTTGATCGAATGATCAAGACATTCTTTCCATTTGCACTAAAATTTCATTCGTTCGAACAAGAGCAACTGTCGGAGTGCTCGAAATCTCTCGTCAAAAAATAACAAGACTCACTTCGAATGAACTAACATGTATATTCGTCAGATTTGTGCAAATAATTGGACTCACACTAACTCCGGCTACTTCTCTTGAACGATTTGAGAAATTGGAACGAACGTCAGATTGGGCAGAATAATTTTTCCTGATCTCGTATTATAAATGTTTACAATGTAGTGATCTCCCTTCAATCGAATATATAAGCCACTAGCACATGTCTATGCATCCAAGAATTATTCCCAGGTAGCACAGTGACGTCAAAAAGTAGCGTCTTGAAGACCTCGAAATTACTTCTTAGAAATGACGTATGAAGAACTATATTTGAAAAAATATACCCAATATCTCTCTTGATTCTTTTCTCGCTTGACACCAAGTCTGATTCATTGATTGAATCCGCTCTTCAAAGAGAATCAAAAAATGCATTAAAATACAGGGTATCCTCTCTTCAAAAGAAACATCATCAGCCGATATGAACATCCTATAGATATATATATAATGACAATAATTTCATGTGGTAGTTCTTATGAAACCCTATACCATACCTGTTGTATTCGAATTTAACCTAATATACCTGACGGTTCGGCTAATATCGAGAGATAACACACTATGGAATTACCGTTCCTAATACAGGTAATCCGATGGATGTCCATTTCAGGTCCAAAAAAAGATTTCGATGTCCATGGACAAGAATTGAACATTCTTAGATGAATCAAAATGCATATATACAATGGTATACCACTGATAGGTAAATTCCAATGGATATCCAAAAAAGTTCCGGATATTCATGGACATGAACTGTGCATCCATTTGATGAACCTGAATGCCCGTCCAATGGATATCTAGTAACACTTCGTCAATGGATATCCATTAGTGGACTCAAAGAATGCATATGCCATCGCCATCTTTATTTCGTGTTCTTTAATGTCTGTTTGTCTGTATTTCGTCGTTTGAGTCGTTCGTGTTTGCTGTTATCGTAGGCAGAAGTTTGTTATCATTTGGGACAGATTCATGCAGCAACATAACCATAGTTGCATTTTCATTATTTAATCACATTTTTCAAAGTGGGTACCAGTTTGTGCAACTTTAGTGAACTCAGTGAACTAATTATTCGAAGTCGATTTGAGGTTATGTCTAATGATTACGTTTTTGATTTTTTCACATACATTTCTTTGAAATAAGTGTGTGTGTTCTCATCTATCATTTCTTGAAGGAATCATCCATCGTTCATCAATATAGAATATTCGATAGTCATTTAGTTTTCCCAAATAACCCAATGAAGTGAAATTATGATCGAATCATCGAATAAATACTATGAATGAAAAATAGCAGGGCTGGAACAGCTTCAATTTAGTTAGACTCATGGGACAAAACTTCATGTAGAAATAATGTACAGTGTTTACACAATAGGTGTACTTTAGTCATCGAATGCAAGTCCAGTAGTTGTACAATTCATGTCCAGTGGATGAACAGGATGAACATATTATGGGCATACGAACTTTTGGTCTCTGGATACATAATAGATGTCCATTGTATAAAAGCTCGACATTTTGAGCCATTCGATGTCCATCCGGCATGTCAATGTACATATATCCAATGGATATCCATTGAAAATCTTCATGTTATTTGGGCTGTAGATCAGATTGTCAAAATAATTTCTGATGTATATTTCATCAAATATTGGGAAAGATTTAACTTTTCTACTTTCGACATTATCCACATTCCTTCGCAAACTGGTAATAAGAGGATTCAGATTGCACATTCTGTAAATAATATCAGGAGTGCTCATTGAGTTTAGTTACCGAATGAAAAAAAAAATGATCCTGTTTGGACGTCTCTATGACCCTTTGTTAATATACGTCAACATGCCGTAATGAAAGATGACGCCATTCTCAAGTCTCCCTGGAGTCGAGGACGTCATGGACCAATAATGACCTAGAAGTGACGTCATTGTCACGTCATTTCACTCACCTGTGCTACCTGGGATTCATATGTGTGGCCTGAATTTTTTGTCGAATAATCAATGTTCGAACAAAATGTAGGTAGAATTATCAATTTCTATATGAATAGATGTCTCGATTTATCGATTAGCGATCATTTGATACGATGTTCGAAGCTTCAATCGAACGACATTAGTTCAGATGCTCTCGATCTGATAATCTTTGATCTTTAATCCAGTAACACATACTCGTTTTGCTGTATTAGAATAAGTGGTTGCTCAAAGATAGCAAGGAGAGATATTTAGATAAAACAGAAAATGATTTAGATATGTTATTCAACATCATCTAGGGTGTTATAATAGTCATTCCTCCGCCTAAACAATTGTTTGGTATTCTCGATAGATGTTTTAATTGGGCTCACAGCTGCTGTATTCAAATTTCGCGGATTATTTCCTCGATTTCAAAACAAACTAATTATTGGTTATAATCGATTACATTAGGAATGTCCAATTCAATCATTTTCATGGGAAAAAATTTTCGTTGAATCGTTTGAGATGTTTCTGTACGAGTATTCGACAACTATCGAACTCAAAGGTGAAAATACCGATAGTTGAATAAACACTGACCATATTATTGTTATAATATTTTCTGGTTGTCGAACGTTCCTAGATAATTTTCACTATCAGCATATTGTCAATATAAATAATAATATATACATAGATTAGAATAAGAGTCGTTCCATCGACCAATCTTGACAATTATTGTGAGAATTTTAAGGCTGCAGAATTCCTTTCTGCGTCCCAATTGAGGGTTTGTAGCCAAAGCCGTTTTGGCCTAGGCAAAATCGAAATTTGTTCAATGTCAAGAAGTCATTTTGAATGTCGTGACCATTATCTTCAAACTATTTTCCGTGAAAATCATTCAATATCAATTTTTCATGGAGAAGCTTTCAACGCAATTCTGAATGATATATCATTACACATATATATAACAGCTCCAGCGAATTTGTCGAAGAACGGGCTTTCAACGCTATCCATCAGAATTTCAAGAGTGTTGGCATTGATGAAGAGCTCAAACTCTAGTTGCGTCGACTGATAGGACTCCAGAGTTCACAGAAGAGAGACTTGCTCACGGAATTGTGGATTCAGCTGTTCGAAATTGATTAATGTCACTTTCAGAGCTATGTATCTATATCATAATAAAAACCCTAATAATCCTTTTGCCAAGTTCTTTCAACAGTGCGTTTACACTCGACCAAAGAAATCAGCAGACTGACAATGTGAGCCAAATTGGAAAAAAAAATAACCGATAGCCTATATCGCTCTCTGTGTCTCATGATGAATGATATTGTATACAATAATCATCCTATACAACAGGTTCAGCTACGTTCATTAGAAAATCGGACCTAACTGTTATATACTATAATGTGTTCACCTCATTATTATGTGTATACAGACCAACTGGCTATGAACCTTTATTCGACGTGATCAATGTTCTATTTTTTGTGGGTTGTGTTACTTATATCACATACCACTTTTAGGGACAGTACAAATGAGTTGAACGTAACAGTGAATCATGGCGGACTCTCTTCATTTTCTACTCTGACAAGGATCAATCTCAAAACTATCGTTTCCAAGATCGAAAACACACACTGTTAACTTCAAGATGGAGTACTCAGTCGTGAAAAAATATTGTTTTAACTTGCACAAAAATGCCATTTTAATTGGATTGCTTCATTTGCTTCATTCTGTCAAATCATACACGCGAAATAACTTCCACTTTTTGCGCTCATTTACAAAATATATACCCATTGTCCATCATTTTCCATGAATTTTCATGCCACTCTGTTGTAGAGTCTTGTGGAAGAAGCCTGTTATTTCATTAGAAATAGATCTTTCATTGCATTGCATGCTTCTTTAACATTGATATGCAGGGTATTGCCGATTCGATAGGGACAAGATTGCTATCTCGTCAACGGTGAGAAATGAAAAATTTATTCAATTAAAAAAAATTGCGTTACTTGAACCTCTCCTACACGACAACTCAAAAACGTCAGCAATTCCAGAAATATTTGGACAGAACTGAAAATCACTGATACTTCTTCATTAACCCATGTATAACACCATACACTTCATTATCGATCAAAAAGGAGCAAAAGGAAACAAATTGTTCGTTAAATGATCAAGATTAGTTTACTTTCAATCATCTTGCCTTGAGAATCATATGAGTATGTGATGTTTTTCACGTTTCGAGAATGAATTCTAAAATCAATTCCAATATTTAAGAATGGGTAAATTCATCAACGAAACCATGAAATATTGAGAACGAATCAATGAATATTGATAAATAGTTGATTCCATCATAAAAATATAACATCATAAGAATATAACTTGGGTGACCAATAGAGCATTCTCATTATTATCAATACAACTAAACTAAAAATCATGTCAAGACCAAGTCTAACATTGAATGTCAACTTCAGATAGTTATAGGTAATAGTATCGTCATTAACAAAAACAATTTGAATTCTTGATTCGTCGGTGCTTTTTTCCCATTCCTGCACGATAATATATAGCGTGTTATTTATAGCCATAAAACAGTATTGATACTGTAGTCATGATAACTGATATTTTGTTTCCCTATTCTCATGACCTACTATATTTGAAAATGGTTCTAATGGTTTTTGGCGCTCTTCCATGTGAAAGGACCCCGCACGAAAACACGGTAAATTGGCTCTCGGTCGAATTGGCTGAAGTTTAACTATGTTATTGTGGGATGGCTCATTAGAAAAATATGTTTGAAAAGTTTTGTATGTTTAGTTTCTTAATATAAGCCCACAAAGTTCGTGAAAACGTCGTATCGGGGTAGGATTGACGAAGAAAAAAACTGTTTTTTTTTAGTATAAATAAGACAAAATAAACTAGAAAATGTA